GACTCATGCTGGTGACAGCCAGCTGAATGTTGCTGTGGCGGAGTTCTAAATTGATATGATGACTGGCTGTGACAACTTGTTAGTGAGCCGATGCATTTGGAGGTGGCTCGACAAGATAGCTGCTCAAAAGATAAATCACGAGCATCGCGTGATCCTGCATATGAGCAGTGGATCTAGGCAGCTTTGCATCAAAGAAGCTGCATCGGCTCACAATGTAAGTTAGTATTCCACCCTCACTTACTAGTAACTGCAGGTTTTTACTCCTCCATCAAACTAGGTATTATGCACATTGATTCTCACTCTCATGTAGCACATCCTGCACCATACAACCATTCTAATTATAGCCACACTTTGTACTATATTCCATGCTATACTGGTCAATCAAAATCATATTTTTTGCTCACATCTCTGAGGCATTGCTGAGCAGGCTTAGAAATGGCAGCTATGACCTACTGTGACAAAAGTGTTACTTGATGACTTGTGGAGGGATAGTATCTGAATGAGTGTTGGAAGGAAATCAAACATTACTCGGTGTACAGTTGTCATGAGTACCTTTAACAAACCACTATTCTTTCTTGAATCTTCCTAAGCGTCAATACACAGCGCCTAAGACAAACCCTAACCCTACCATGAAAGCATCTACCAGTTCAGAAATCCCTTTAGCACCCATGACATGTGTCTTCGATGTGACTGATGAAGAAGACAAGTTCTTTGATTGTGATTAGATTAGATTAGATTAGATAAGATAAGATATGGTCACGTGATACTTCTTTAATATTCTACGATGTTCTATGGTACAATTCCCTTTTCCTTTTTATGATTGGTCAGTAGTTGTATCTCAGATTCAATCTCAGATTCAATAGTTGTATATAGGTAGCACGTCTTGGTTGATAGTTCTCTAGTTCAAACCTCTTGTATCTACATCATTGTAGCAATCCAAGATAGACTTGCTCACTTCCTCTCTGTTGTGATAACCTTAGTCTGAGTCCTAGTCTCCGCCCAGCATTAATTCATTATTGGGTTGTGACAACAGTGTTTAAGTGGAGATTATAATTGATGCTGCACTATAGTCATGGTGTGGCATACACTCTTTCAACAATTTCACTGATAACACAGTTCTGCCTTCATTCAATCACGATATAAAAATCGCAGTCATAAGTATCATTTGTATAGGCACAGAGATTGTTTTCCCTTAGTTTTTTTTCCTGTTTGATGAAGTATACAGATTGTAGCATTACCATCTGTTAAGGTCATACTCTCGTATTAACAGATCCGATAGGGCTTTGGCCTCAGCTCATACGCTGTGCCCCTTTCCCAAGTATTGCCCCTTATTTCAGAGAGGGAGATATAACATGTCTGGAGGATTGGACGAGTACCGTAATGATATCCGAAGGTCATCTGGATAATGGAAACACGCTGTAACGATAGTCGCAGCGCTGGGCTTAAAACCCGTGTTTTTGATACTCATGTTAAACAGTATTCATCCAATGCATCCCCTGACATTCCGATCCCAATCCCAATGCCCGACCCCAATCCTGAAAGTTTTGGACCCGACATTTTCGCATCGGACTCGTCCTCCCTATGTCCTGTCCAGTCATATCTACCCCCACTGGTGTGTATTTACTCGTTTCACATTACTGGACATTACAGACAGCGTTATTACATGTTATCTACAAAAAGGTGCAGTACACATGCTCTTTTACATACATTCAGACCCGATTTTACGCTACTGTTTTCGCCTAATGCACTCCGAAATCCTACATAGACACTATTTAATATCTAGTACTTCCTACCTATTGCATTACTTACTTTTCCCTACTCAGTAGTAGGATGGAAGTCATTGGATATTAGTATTACTTTATTGTATTGCAAAATATCTATCTGCTCTTTTTCTCCGAAACATTCTGACACATCTGACACTCATTTGACTGACAATCCGACATACTTCTGACACATTCCTTCACCGTCCGACGCATTCCTGACAGTACAATGCATAGTCTGATGCCCAACCCAACTCCAATATTTTCAGACCTGACAGTTTCCCTTTGGACAAGTAGTTTTTAGCTTCGGATTATCTTCCTATTACTGATAACTAACTATCAAAACTAATACCAAACAGCTACCCCTATAGGATTGAACGCACTTGCTCTGCAAGTATAGCAGACTAGGTCATGCTAAGATCTACCTAAATATTTGTTGTCTAGGTAGTATGATTTCTGCTGAGCCCAGTGGGAATCAGCTTTCTACAACACATAAGACTGATCCAGATAGGTCCGGACTAGAAAACAACAGAGTATAGACTATCTGAAGATAGAGTCGGAGATGTAGGCTTATAGGATACAATCCTTAAGTTTCGGAATGTGACAAGAGCTTAACTAGGCTTGAGTCCGGAGGACAGAAAGAGAACAAACTAAGATGATATTCGAACTGAGGTATTACAGGGCATATACAAGGGTTTATATACTAGAAGACTATCCGAGGCTATGCACAAAGTATAAGTGAAGTTTATCACAAGTTAAATGCAAGTCAGAAATTAGCACAGGTGAACAGATCATAAAGCATAGCCAGAAGTAAGGATAACCAAGATACCGGGAACAAGGAATACTGAATAAAGGAATAGGCTGTGATTAATGTTATATGAACAGGAAATGAATAGGAAGCTTATCGTATCTCAGATCAGATCGGATCTAGGGTCCGAGGTCCGGATGAGAAGTGTGGATATATGGGATATGGCACCATCATTAACATTCAGTGGTGTGACATATGTCAATGTATGATTTATTGTGAACACAACTGCTCGATATTTTCTATGGGATCTTCACAGATCTATTTAATAGACACTATAGAGAACACTGGCTATAGTCACAGAATATTTTTGTGCAGTATGCAGCTTGCAATATGATGATCAGCAAATTTTGAAATCCAGTACCCATTTTGAAAAACCCTGCCAGTGACAGTGTGGGCCTCACTGGATTTAAGAGGGCATACAAACACCGATGTAGCCAAAAAATGGCTCCTCTCCTTGCCGAGGAGCCGGCTGTTATTGCTGACTGATAGTAAAGTGTCACAGATAAGTATCAGAGCCACAGAAAAAGCAAAAAAGACGAAGGAATGACCACTATTATGCTATTAGTAGGGAGGAATTTGGGAGGGATAATAGAAAAGGAAAAAAAAAATAAAGAAAAAATAGAATAACAAATACATAGACATACACATTGGCATTTGCAAAAGGTAGATCATGTACTGGACGACTGTGGAAGAGTAGTGCTTGCAGCAGCGTCAGATTTTTATGCACATAATGCCCCCACATACTCAAATTCAAATGACCGACTGTGCAAATATGATCAGGAGACACCCACTGCAGCAAGTGAGGTAGCACCCCCAGCACATATTGAGTGGCCTGATACTGAGTTGGCAAAGAAAATGCACAGTTGTCAGAACCATGAGTGAGTAGGTGAGCGACCATTGCTTCTCAACCAGAGGAAGGGGTGCAAGGGAAATTTTGAGTTGCGAGAAGCAAGGAAACATGTAAAGAGAGGAAGTGGGTCAGTCAGACCCAACCAGCACACATTGGATCACAACCTTGTTTCCTTCATACTGCATATCAGTCTTGTCCCGCTCAATCATAAAAGGAAAATAGGTATCCAACACACTAACCAATGTTCGAAGAGTGAATTTCAAAAGGTTGGTAATCAAGACATTGTCAGATGCAACTAATTCTTCCAAACAAAGAAGACCATAGAAGTCACAATGTAGCTGAGTGACCCATAGTAGGTCATTGTGAGTTAAGGAATGTGGCAAGCCACAAAACACTTATTCTAAATTGTCGTGCATAAGTGGTTTTTTGTGCAAAATGGGTATCCTAGATTGTGAAGTGCTCCTTGCAGGGTATGCTTGACAAGGGGAGGGTGTTGAGGTTCCCGGATGTGAGGATAATAAGGTTCAAGTTGACTAACTATACCAGAGAGATAAGCCTCGATGGAGCGAGGTTGAATATGATGCAACATAAAGGTCACATAGTAGGAGAGTGTATCAGGAGTAGGATCAATCAATAGATAGTGCAAATTGCAGAAAGTGAGATAGGAATTGAGATGTGATGAATAGGTGTAAAAAGTCCTGTTATCCAAAACAAGACCTAACAAGACTGAACACTCATGGATGAGGTGTTGTAGGAAATACAACTCAGCAAGGCGCAAACAAAGCTCCTAACTGATATCTAAATGTTGTAGGTCATCCACTGCCTAGTCTGCTATACTTGACAAGACAAGTGCATTTGATCCTAAAGGGGAAGCAAGTGCAGCAAAGGTCTAGAAGTATGCATGGAAGGTGCTACTAGTTGGCTGATGCGAAGTGTGGGAAAGTGCACACATGCATAGGAAAGTGAAGTACACTTAATATGGTTGATGTGCCAGTGGTTTAAGTGATGATAGAGGTACAAGGCAATGAAAATAAGCATAGAGCAAAGTGATAGAGAATGCGATGCAAGTGATAGAGTGCCAATAGCTACTGTGATGTAGGCTTATTGGGAGTTGCTATTCTGATGCTCAGAAAATGAATTCTTATTGCAACTACTGGGAAAAGGAAAACTAAGCTAAATATATCTACTGCTGGTGCTTAAGTATGGTGCCTAAGCACTGTTAGTGAAGCCAAGCTGAAGCACCACTAAACCGAGTATGTAAAGCTATATGTAAGTAAGGGTCCATGATAAAATAAAGGTGGTACAATGTGTAAATAAGTTCAAAATGGAAATATATGCACTATGGAATTTGAACAATGGATGGATGCATCTGGATAGCCAGCACTATAGGGCACTTGAGCGCAGGAAAGCTGCACCTCATATGGAAATAGCTGAGGATAACTTAGGAAGTGATGCTACAAGTTTGTGCTGTGTGCTGTGTGGGCATAAAGTGCAATATTGCACCATGAGAGACATGAGTCTCTACAGTGTTCAAGTGACTAAGGATCCATTATGGGTTGCTTGGTCTTTGAGGACATTGTAATCATTTCTTGCCCACCCCCAGTGCATTCCAAGGGGGTATAAATGGATGAATGGCCAATTCCAGCAATGCCAATTGAGCCTCTGCATTTTTCCAATGTGATAAGTGGTCTGCTACAACATTGTTGACTCCAGGAATAAAGAACACCCAAAAGTTGAGTTGTGCTGCTATGATTGCATCTACTGAAGCCATGAGAAGCCAGTTGTAAGGCAGAAGTGCTGCAAGAGATTTGAACATAGATACAGAATTAAGTTTGTCTGTGAAAATGGCAATTTGTTGACCAATGCTTAAATGTACAACAGATTCAAGCAAAGCAGCAGTAATGGATAAGGCTTCAAAATAGAAAATTGTTCCAGATGGTGCTGACCCAGATAAGGGCAACTGAAACCTGGTGTTGAGGCTAGGAAACCAATACACCAGATCAACACCTGATGCATTAGTATAAACCCTCAAAACATCTTGAAGATGCACAAAGCTTCTGGAGACAGACTTGAAAAAAAAACTCCATCAGCTATATGCAAATGGTTTACAACCTACAAAGGTTCTCATACTACATCTCAATTCACTCAAATAAGTGCTTTTGAGGTAAGTTTTCCTGTAGTTTTTGCATAGAGAGATGACAGACCTGACCCAATTGAGCCATCTAGCTACACACTAAAAATCTCAAAGGGAATATTGTGAACTGTGCTAAGCAAAATTAACCAACTCCTAGATAAGACATGTCCAAGATTTATCAGACATGGATGCCCACATTAAGTTTGAATCAACATTACATCCAATGATGGGAAGCTCTAAACCAAAGATTTGCTTTTTCTCTTCATGCAGCAATCCTATGGCATCCCAAAGACAAAGAAGTTTGACTATATTTGAAGGAAGAAGTTTCTTGTATGAAGTGTAAAGCTCAAGACTGCACTTATCTTTGAAAGAGAAAGAGTTATCGACATAGATGTATAGAAAGTGGATGAGAATCTTAAAAACAGCGATCCAGATGACAAGGGACATGAAAGAATGATAGATTCATTGAGAAGCTCTTCCTTCAAAAACATGTCTTTGATCAACATATCAATGTCCCTGAAAACTCATGATTTGTTTAACCTGCCAGAGAGGATGCATAGGCATATGTTGGTAAGCTTCTGATATATCAGCCTTCCAAAGATGAAGGACAGCCTGAGGCCACTTGTGTCTAAACACCCAAAGGCCATTAGCTAAATCATGCACATTATCAAGAGTGATACCAGTGATGTTCTCATGAGAAATCATTGAGTTTAGTGTATGTTTTCTGGCACTATGATCAGTAACCAGTCAATGCTTCATAGTTCCTGGTTTGGGAACAGTGTATATAGGCATGCTATACATGCCAGGAAGCAGATCTGGACCAAAAGGTGGAAAATACCATTCAACTTCCACCTCCTTATCAATCTGTGCCTGTAGGAACTTTCTTTTGGCCTTAGTCTTTGGGGGCCGATCCAATATATCATAGATGAGAGGCCACTCTTCCAGATGAGTATTAGAAAACAGCCAAAAACCTTCTCTAAGTCCAGTACATACTAAACAAACAAAATGTTAATTTGGATGGTCCGGTAAGAGTGACTCAAAGACATTGATTTTAATAGATGTAGATATTTTGAACAGAGAAGGATGTTGCTGAATGGTTTCCAAGGCTTCTTGATTAAGGAATTCATGATCAGATGGTCGAGGCAAAGGTACTGCAGTCTCAGTCCACAAAGCAGTGCAACTACGGCCTAAAACACCATTAACCCAGACTTTCTTCCACTTAAAATGCTGACCATAAGCTATACTCTCATTTAGCTCCACCTTTGTTTGAGCAGTCGGATTTTTGATGAGCTCCTCAACATCCTCTTCAGTCACAGCAATGGGTGAATCTGCATTCTCCATCTGACTTCTGACAGGTTCCTCTAGTCCATTTATGACAGGGATCATCCCTTCCTCCAACTCCATCTCTCTGATTCAATTTTCCTCCGGTACCAGATGCAGATGAGGAAGAATTGGCACCAACACCAAAGGAGGTGAGGAAGGTTGTTCTGAGGTGCTCAAATTGGGAATAAACAGTGAGGCATAAGTTTCTTTGTGTGGCCACTTGATTTCTGACAGATCAATTGAACTCAATGACTCAAGAATGGAGCCAGACTTCTATGGCATGAAAGAGTCAGCTGAGGTATATGCTGTATTGAGTGAACTCATCTTGATGCTGTGGGAAAATGAAGGAGATTGCTTCAATGTACATTGAAAAGGTGATGTTATGGTCTGAAGATGTTTTGATACTGGCTGAGGATTTTGACACTCAGAGGGTGAGCTCAATCTCATCATCAATGATATGGGTTTTCTTGGGGTCCAACTTGGTTGTGTGAGCCGAGTCAAGGACCTTGTGTGAGATCAATGTAGAGCCTCGCGTACCCATAGGCACTTTCCTCCGAATTCTCCCACTTTCCCTACAAACTCCAGCTCTAATCCACAGGATACATCTAGTGCATTAGCGCACTTATATTTTATTTTGCAGGTTTCGCGTGCAGCCTCGCGGGTTCACGCACTTTGCACATCTGCCTTTGCATTGTCCGTGCACCCGTCCATCCGTCCATCCCATGTCCTTAGAAGTTCATTGGTGCATTTTCCCATCATATTTCCTTTTCGTCTAATTGGTTTCCATCGCTAATACTCAGCTCTGCGCTTTGCATTGTAAAGAGTAAATCTCTGCTGGGCTCAGCAGAAACTGTACTACCTAGTCAACAATGTTTAGGTAGATCTTAGCACGACCTATGCTGCTATACTTGCAGAGCAAGTGCGTTTGATCCTAAAGGGATTGCTAATTGGTATTAGTAGTAAAATGTGTCAGTAATGCAAATAACAAAATGTCCGATGCTGTGAAATGATGTCTGAAGGTACTTATCCGATGTCTGAAGCCAAAGTGCGATGTCCAAGATTTCGGACTTTCGGACTTCACGATAATAGGTCGGAAACTTTATAACGAGTGTTGGATTGCAAGCAGTATGTGCGAGTATAATGAGTGACGGAGTGTGATGGTGAATGAACGGTAATATTTTGCAATGCAACTAAGAACTACAAGAATATTCTGGGTGATCTGCAGAGTCAGGAAACTGCTTCTAACTACTGGATCATAAGTGCTACGGGTCACTACAGAGTATTTAAGTAAGTACGTAGAAATCCGGAATACTACAGGTGAAGATAGTAGCAATATATTTCGGGTCCAATGTCCTATGTAATAAGACATGAGGTGCTGCGGACATGTAATAATGCAGTCTGAATGTCAGAAAATGTGCACAGGAATAACTACGCACCTAGTGAGGCTAGTTCGGATGGACAGGACATGGGATGGATAAGTGCGCGCGAAGTGCGATCGGCCAATGCGATGTCCGAAGGTCCGATGCGGAGTGGCTTGGACACGTGCAAAAGTGCATCAGACATGTGCACATATGTTTTGGGTGTTTGATGTGAGTATAAAAAACTGTGGTTCCAAGCCCAGCGCTGTGACCATCGCTACAGCATGTAACTGAGACCCTATTACATACCTCGCGTACTATTTATAACCTATTCAGCTTGTTACATCGGACCTGCATGCCTAGCACCGCTTAGCTACTTTACTTATACCCTCCTATTATTTATGTATGGGGTCGATTTTCTGCCCACTTTCTCTGTGTCTCTAGATACTAGGAATTTTACTCGTTGTTTGCAAGTGACTATCTAAAGTCATGCACCTTGGTTCTCCGCCTTCGTCTTAGCATCACTTCACTTGCGTGCATTACCTTCGTGTCGCATACTTCGCCCTTCGCACTTTGCACTCACACATCATTGTCTGTGTCTGCCCTTTGCACATCACATTGTTCCTGCCTCGCACTTCGCGCATCCTTAGTCTCAGTACTCTACTAGTTGTTTGGTGTCCCTCTTTTTACAAAGAGAGGTTTTCCTTTACTCAGTTAGCTGCCCTTGGGACAATGATTTCACTCGTGCCTGGGACTATCTGTGTTTGCTTAGCTTAGCACCAAATTTCATCACAGTTTAGATTCCTCATCTTCATCGACATACTTCCACCGCATGACATTAAGCCATTTTCTTGGTGGGAAGGGTGGACACCCGGGTGTGGACAAAATGTCACTAATGACTCCCTTGGGATCAGAGATGAAGTTGTCAAGCTGTTTGTAGGTTTCTTGGATATTCAAAGGTAAAAAGACAAAAGCTGATGACTGTCTTTGTGCCCAGGGGAACTTACTTGAGTCAACATTTTTTGCTCGCTTAGGACTCAGCTCTTCCCCATCCCCTAAATTAGAGTCAATTCACAATTGTCTTTTTCCAGGGATGCTTTCCCTATCCTCTCAGTGAGTTTCCTCTTCCTTGAAGGATAAATTGCCTCAGTGTCCTCTTTCACATGCTTGTGCTTTGGAAGTGTCAATGCTGTCAAGCATTCCAATGAAGACGTCAAGTGCCTTGTCGAGGCTTTTTCCATTTCTGACAGCGAGGGATTCAAGCAAGCTCTCTCTGACTCTGAATATTGTGCTGGCTTTTCCAATTTGACTAAGTTGATATTGATTAATGAGCTTGCTACATTGTTCAATGCAGGTGAAGTCAGATGAACCCTCCGAAATCTGTTCCATCAAGGCAGCAGTTTGACTCATTTCTCCATTATCAGACATGAAGAATAAGCTTTCTGATGTAACAAAGTTAACGATGCTCAAAATTAACTAGCGAAGTGACAGGGTAGGTTAGAAAGAGGAACCTAGTACACTCTATTGAATAGCTTACCTAGCAAAGTGATGGGGTAGGTTAGAACTCCAACACATGAAATAACATGCTACTCATGACTGCCAGTGAGCAGTGCAAATCATGCCTACTAGGAGTGGATGTATTTGAGTCAAACTCAAACCAAAAAAACTGCCACATTGTTTGCAATGATGCTGAGAACCATGTGACCCATTAGCTTAGTATAAATAAAAATTAAATCCAATAAAATTGCTTGGTCATGTGTATTAGAGACAAACCACAGGGCAACTGATTCACCATTTGCTCTCAGCTCTGAGTTCTCTAGCTTGCTTGCCCCAGCGCTTTGGTTCTCATGACTTCTGACCCGCCTGAATCATCATCCAGGTATGTTTTGACCCTCATGGTGTAGAGACTCATGCCTCTCATGGTGCGATATTGCACTTTACACCTGCACAGCACATAGCACAAACTTGCAGCATTGCTTCCTAAGTTATCCTCAGCTATTCCCATACAAGGCACCGCTTTCCTGCATATCGCATGATGTGCACGTGCCTTTCCTGTGCCATGTGTTGCATGCACTTTCCCATGCTTAAGGGGTCTATAGTGCCAGCCATCCAGACACATCCATCCACTGTCCACCAAGTTCCCTAAGTGCATATATTTCCATTCTAAACTTATTTACACATTGTACCACCTTTATTTTGTTATGGACCCTTACTTACATATAGCTTTACATACTCAGTTCAGTAGTGCTTTGGCTTGGCTTTGCTGACAGCGCTTAGGTGCCATACTTAAGTGCCAGCAGTAGATATCTTTAGAAGTTTTTGCTTTCCCAAGTTTTCTTTTCCCAGCAGTTGCAGTAAGAATTCATTTTCTGAGCATCAGAATAGCAACTCCCAATAAGCCTACATCGTGGTAGCTATTGGCACTCTATCTCTCGCATCACATTCTCTATTATTTTGCTCTATGCTTACTTCCATTGCCTCATACCTCTATCATTGCTTAAACCACTGGTGCATCAAGTGTGCTTCACTTTCCCATGTATGCACACCACATCCCCGTGCTTGCCTCCAAAGCATTCCCATGCACACGTGCACATTCCCATGCTTTGCATTGGCAAACTAGTAGCACCTTTCACGTACATTTCAAGACCTTTGCTACACTTGCTTCCCCTTTAGGATTGAATGCACTTGTCTCACCAAGTATAGCAGACTAGGCAGCACATGACCTACAACATTTATACATCAGTAAGGAGCATTGTCTGCACCTCGCTGAGTTGTACTTTCTACAATGGCTCTGAAGGCTATGTATTTCCAATTTAAACTCATTGACTTTGATTATTAGTTCACCTGTGACTTCAATGCAGTGTTCTCACAAATGATCTTGATATGTTCAAGATGAAAATCTACCTATGAGGGGCATCATGATGCCCAAATTTCCAGAACACAAACAATGTGCTATTGTGTCTCAGGGCAATATAGTACCCTTTTCATTATTGGTGTGTGCTTTGTGCTACATATCTACAGTAATACTAATGTCTAATGTGTCTGCCTGCTAGAATTCTACCCGAATGAGCCATCCACATAACTTGCAAGATCATTTGAATGCTCAATCAACTCTCAATTTTGTGGCTCCCTCTGCCTCTGTGAACTGGTGTTCCATTGCTCAACAATGTCATCAGGCACACAAATATGCTGAAAGAGAGCAACTGAAAAACCAACCTGCACAGGCCTATTCCCACATGCAGGCCCAGAAAATACCTTTCAACATAGATCTCTATGCTAATCCTCACATGCCAGGACATGGAGATGCTTAGTAAGAGATAGAAATGAATCTCAGACTGGTTGCTTACAAGTACACAGGATAAGTGGAGAAATAGTGGTACATGTGTGGAAAGAGTGTGCAAGATAGATCCAGAGTATTGGGAGATAGAAGAAGAGATGTGGAAGACATATGATGGATCCAAAACTTAAGTGGGTAACAGAAGTGACAGATTGGATTCTGGAGTGAAGGTGTGTAGGGATTCATTTCTGGCTAGGCTTGTAGAGGCTGTTTTTACCTTAGTTATGTTTGCGCTTTGTAGCTTACATAATCAAGTTACCTTTTCACCAGTTTCTACTATGAGTCTGAGTCTCTAGTAGTTTTTCACACTCTTTGAGCTCTGAGCCTGGTACAGAAACCCTTTAGGGTCAAACACTATCTTCTAGACAACATAGCCAGGCAGTAAG